AATACTTTAATTAACTCATATTTATATATGTGTATGTATGTATATTTATGTATTGCTATATATGTTTATATATACATATACATACATGAATATTTATTCATTATATATGATATGAAGTATGATATTTATTTATATAATTAAATATATTTAAGATACAATAAGTTATTTTTAAAAGTAAAATTTATAAGTGTATACTTAAAAAAATAGAGATAAGTTTATTTAGTATTTTTAACTATCAATATTTACATTCCACAATACATACTAATTAATTTCATTTCTCAAGTGATTTATACTTAAATATCTGTTTTTGTATATTGTAAAAGATACCTTTTCACCAAAAATTAGTTTATAAATATGTTTAATTAAACACTTAAATTTTTAATTAAAAAAAAATAAGTATAATGTACTATTATAAACATTTTTTTGACTTATTTGATTATATTTAATCACCATGTTGAACATTTGAATGTATATCTGGGGGAAGGCCGATATTATAAACTTAACGTAACTATTAATAAATATATTAATTTGAATGTTGAACAAATATTTGCGTGAGATTTATTTAACTACATTAAGAAAATAACTAGAAAGAAACATTTGAGTTTAAACATTTATTACCTGTAGATATGCCTACTATTTTAATATAGTAGAGTATACTATAGTAACAGTTAATTATTTGTGTTGTTAAATAAATATAGTTTTAAAATGATTTTACTTTGACATTGCGCATAATGATTGACAAAAAATGTAATGACTTTTTTTCGACTAATATTATAAATATCGGCCAAGCACTATTTATACCAACTATTTTACATTTATATAAGTATTATGTTTTTTTATATCAACAATAAGTATTGATTAAATGTATTTACTTTTTACTTCATTGTTTAACACATATAGGAAACTATGAAGTAAAAAGTTTCAAAAATTCTTTTTATTACCTTATTTAATAATTATAATAGACTTTTGTTAATATAATTCATCCCTGACTAATTTATACAATTGTCATGAAATGTTTTATATTTTATTGATTATCTTACTAATATAAATGAGTTGATGTATTATATTTTATTTAGATGATCTGACTCTGTTTAAAACATAAAACCAATAATATTTAATTTACTTGACAGGTTATGTGAATAGTTTTTGTTTTTACAATGTTTTCAAATAAATGATAGTAAAATAATATGTAAACACATAGTTAGACAATTTTTTAAAGGTGACAGTGATATTTGTTAGTATGAAACTTATTATTTACTACTATACTATTTATAGTATGAAACTATATACTTTAAAAAACAAAAAAATGAACAAACGAAATAATAAAATACTAAATTCTTGTTGTGTAGTTTTGTTGTAAGAATTATAGATATCTGTTTGACTGGACAATTTTTTTTCCGCGATCTTAAAGTTATTATCTCACATGTTGTTAAAATTCTGTGCGAGGTCCTTGCGTCCCTATACTGCTACCTCAAATATCAAATATTTTAAATATTAGCACGGCATCACGCTGTTGTGTCCCTAGGAAAATCAGATAACACACCCATTCTTATAATTTAATAATACGTTATAGTGAATGCATATAGTGTTTGTTACAATGTTCTTTGTATACCTAGGTGGATATAATAGTTTTTCTAAATTATTATCCCCTTTAGTTACTATTAAATGTTAGCATTATGATTGTTCAAAGTCGACAACCATATCTTAGGATAGCTATCAAGTTCAGTTTTTTTAAACAATATTATTCAAATATTATTTTAAAATAATGCCAAGATATGTAGCAAAAACAAAAATGTCAACATTGAAAATATTAAACACAGATAATTTATAAATTTAATTAGAAACCTCCACACCGCAAACCACCCAAAAGCAGATGAAACTTCATAAGTGTTTGTTTATCATATTGATGGTGTAACATTTGTAACGTAACAATATTATAGACTGTAAAATAGTTTTGGTTAATTCAAACATTATCGACATCATAAAAATGGATGAAACATATATAGTTATGGTAGGTATACATATTATATAATAATTATTAATAATTTTATATAATCAAATATATAATAATTAAAAATTATATGAAGGTACATCGCACCAATACCAAAAAAATAACAATTTTTATAGATGCTGAAGTGACAGGACTTTTCTTTTTAGGAGCTACTCTAGATTGTATACTGAATGACAATAGACTGTCCGAAATAAAATGACCATAATTTGCTGCTAATATGACTCCCAATAAAGAAATATTAAAAAAGCCAAGTTTTTGCCAGGTTTAATTTCAATATTATATACTTTATTTAGGAACATTTTATATGCAAATAAATACATTTGGCCATCAGCCTTGTCGTTGTATTATTCGTAGTAGTAGTAACTAGCATAACAATATTTCAAGTCCCGGTTATTGTTTGCTTCCGTTTTTAATAATAATTAATAAATAACAATACTAAATAGTTAATATGATATTATGCATTTTTTTGACACAACTTTCCACGTGAAGATTTAAAAAAAAAATGAGGGTCTCTACAACATTATAAACTAACATAATATGGGCTATAGCCTATAGATATCCATTAATTAATGTGTGAATTGTATTGCCAAATAAAAATAATATGGGTAGGTATTAACATATTGAATAATATGACAAGTGTCAAGTAGATAAATAGCCTATAGACACATTATTGGTACCTATGTGAAGCAAAATTAATAATAATTAATCAAAGTTATATTTTTCTGAGTTAGGCATAGTAAATTAATAATGATATATAATTAAAAAGTATATCAACCTCAACATTTGCAACTTACACAAAAAATACTCTCCATAATATTATATTATTATTTAGTTTTTGTGGTTTATGTACGACAATCCTTGTTTTTTTTTTTTGTTGAGCATCAATAATAATATATTGTGGGTTTCTAATATTATAGCTCTCTCTGGATACGTCGGGCCCACAAACTCAGGCATTAGGTAGTCATAAAAATATGCTTGTAATATTGGAAACTTATTATTATTGTTCTATAAATTATTTGTCAAAAAGGATTGTTTCAGTTTTTATTCTTTTAAGAGTCAACATAGCATATACACAACAATTTTTTTGTGTAATTTTCATTTGTACTTAAACTTGATAACAGTTGGTACTTATGTTTTTCAACTTCCAATATTCCCTTATTGATTTGTAGAATTAAAATCATTCTTAAAATGTAATCTGGCATTTTTGTCAATTTAAAATAATATCCAAGTTTCAAGTAAGTACCCACTAATAAATATTCAATACGCTTTAATAAGTTACAATAAAATAACTGAAACCCGCTCTCTTGGTTTTAACTTGTAATTTCGTCCAAATTTGAACTTAAAATGTGTATAAAAAGACTGTTTATATATTTTTTAGTAACAGAATTAACTACTTACGAGGTACCTTATTTTCAATTATGAATCTTAAGCTGTAATAATTTTTATAAATCTTAGGCATAAAAAGAAAATATTTTATGAATTTATAGCTCAACAAATTTGGAAATTTGAACTTCAGACACTCCATAAAAATTTTTGTCGATTTAGGTTCAACTATTTTTTAATTTCTACTAACAACAACTTTTGAAAAACCTTATAACTATTACATTTTCCAGGTTTTTTGATTGAGTTAAAATTCTGTGGAACTTTTATACATCTAGGTATTTTTTTTAGAGTAACACCATAAACAAAAATCAATTTTAAAATATCTTGCTAGAAAATTCTCATCTTTCCATAATTTTTTTTTCCTGATACTTTTGAAAACTACTGAGAATTTTGTTCTCCCAAATGCACCAACTTGATTCACTTCTCTCCATTAAATATACCTACTGAAGTTGAAATTTGAATTTTATTTTTGACTACTTATCGTGTAATGTTTATGCAACAACAAAAAATTAATAAATAAAAATACATATTATTGTAAAACCAATACATTTAACATTCCACTCAGGATCTGAAGTTAAATTTTTGTCTCGTTTTTGGAGACTGCTTTCATTTTTTTACTTAATTATTGAATATTTTAACCGATATCCCTCTGTTTCAAGTTACTTTCATCGATAACGTTGCTTCTACCTATTGGGAAATCGTCTTTGTACCATCGTCTATCAGTTATGAGTAATGAGTTTATGACTTATGAAATTTAGAATGATTGTGATAGGACACAATGTCATCAGTAAGATCGTTGGAGACTATTGCTGACTAAGTAGTATACAGTAAGAGAGTGGGTATTAGGCCATTGCAAATGCAGAAGCCGAGAGAAATAAAAAAATTATTATTTCAAATTCATTATCTTTCTCAAAATATGGACAACTGGCGACGATGTCATATTAAAAGGTATATTTTAGTTCATTATAATATTAAATATAGGTACCTATTAATTAATAATTAATAATATCATTTATCAGCATGGCATCTTTAGTCGGTCTTCACGACGTGGTTAGTCATAAACTCATAAATCACAGTCATAAACTCATAACCATAGACCAAAGATTAATGGAGAAATAAATAGAGTCATTATAATATTATGATTCATTACTCAATATTTATATTTCATTTTGATATAACATTTTACGTCTATATATTTTGCATTATGTTACAGTGTCGCATTGTCGAAGCCGCAGACGGCAGACGCCAGATGACATACGACAGTACAACACTACAACACTACAACAGAAGTACGGACGTACCACAGAGTACTATAGTACACAATTTTACATACTGTAGTACAGTACCCTATACCTACTACGCTTCGAAAACAGTCGTGGGCAGTATCGTCCATGGCACAGACGCACAGTGCTACACTGTCACAATAATAAGTACCGCGTCGCCACCGTACCAAGACCAGGTAAAATGTCGCGAACTTCTCGTTAACGATCGTAAACGACGAAGCTTCGAACCGACGAATGTTCACTGTCGACCAGGCGGCCAAACGCGCAAGCCGCGGCAGTTCTACAGTCGATCAATTGCTGACGCCCCGTTTTCGTCGACCATTTTTTTGTTTTATTTTTTTCGCTTTTGCGAAAAAAAAATCACTACTTAGATAACGACGTGAACGATGTGATATAAATTATTATTATTTGTTTACAATTACAATCGTTTTTGATTTGTGCACGATTGAGATTTTTTCACCATTATTATTATTACTATTATTACTATTTAATTATTCATTAATCAATAATCATTATAATATTTTATTCTTGAGGCTACGGTTCCTCGCGAATTCAATATTTCCATTGCAACACAACGTCTAGTTACCGAAAAGCGAATTTCACTGCTGCTTAACAATGCATTTGAGATGTCGTTTCTCTACAAAAATTATGTGCAATGCGTTTTGCGCAAACTATTAAATCGCAACGTATTTAATCCAGCAAGACTACCATCAACAAGTTCGACATTACAGCATCTGCATACAGTCATGGACTCAGAGCATTGCACGTACATCCATCAAAAATCAACAGTGATGTATCTGTGGTTAGTTGTGAATAATATTATGTATAATATCTATCAATTAATGTTTTTTTAAATGTTATCCAAACCTGTTATTAATACATCAGGTACTTAATTACTTACTTACCTATAATCTTTAAATTTAAAATAAATGAAATAAAACTAATTATAATTAGGTAATTAAAAAAAAAATGATTTGTGTTTTACAACTTTTAAACGCATATATAATTGGATTGCTTTCATATTAAATAATAAATTATGTAAATTGCCTAAGTAAAATTCTTAAGTAAATAATTTTTTTTAATATACTTAACATATTGTGGTGTAGGGAAATAGAAATAAAATTGCCATTATAATTGTTATTTGTGTAATCATCAGTGTCATCCAAGACATTTTTTTAGCTGTGCAGTAAGATATTATTTTACCCATCCCATATTTTTCTATTCATACACCCTTAAGATCTAGGTCTAATGGCCCTTTTTATAGTAAATTTTGCTAGGTATGTCAACATTTAAATTTAGAAGAATTAAATTAATTATATTGTCTAAAAGAAAAGCCAAATTTCTCAAAAAGAATTATATATATTAATAAATCATTATTTTGCTTGTCTAATGAAATATTCATAAAACATAACATAAACTACAACTGATAAAATTGCTCATAATATAATTGTATAAGTTATAAACATTGTAGAAGAACAGAATAAAGTATGATTTCAAATAAATAAATTATATTTGATATTGAGATCTTTTCCATAAGCTTTTCATACCAGATATAATTCAATGCATAGTAGAACGGAGTCTATTATTAATAATTAAAGATAGTTACCTACTGATAATGTTAAAGATTGTATAAAGGTGTAGTGGTTTCTCACCCTAGTTATATTATTGAATTAAATTACAAGTAAATAATATTTTTTGTATCGTTTAAGTCTATATTCTGCCCCAAAAAAGAATGATCTTTTTTTGGAAATCATGAATGGCGTTTCTGGAACCATGTGCTCATGCTAACACTGGGAAGTTGGTGGGAAATGCGCAACACTGACGTAAATTGATCGGCTGACTGATTATTCTCTTTTAAAACAGAGTATAGTTTGAAATGTTTACTGTTATATTAATTATAGTGTAAGGTGTTTAATTATAGGTTTTTTTTAAGTTTAAATTTAAAGACAAAAAAATTCTTCATTTTTGGTTTATCTTACCACAAGTCGTTATTATTACTTACCTATTTGAAATGTTAAGTATTAGCATAACTATAGGTATTCCAATTAAGTTTAGCTACTGTTAGGTATGTATATAAGTATATATAAGTGTACTTTGTGTTTAGGTACCTAACACTAATCCGTTTTTTGATAAATAAAAGTATAATTAATTTAGTATCTATCATTATTATTTAGGTACTACTTATAATAATGTTGATCCATAAAACCTACTAAAGTATCCATAAAATATCAACACTTTCCTGTTATATAATATACAAATTGACATTTACACTTACTTATCGTATTTTATATTTTTCCAAGAAGAAAATTATCATATTATTATTTAACTACAAACTAATTGGGTACTTACTTAATATTTATTTATTTACTTATTACAGTTAAAACAGGTGAGCTAAAGTACAATAAGTACATGGAAATACACATAATAAATATAATTATAAAGTTATAATGTTAAAATGTTATGAACAGACCATTCTTGAAAACGTTGATCCAAAATTTATAATTTGATAAACGTTTGTTTACCACTGAATTTAACTGTGCATTTCAAATATTCTTAGTACTCTAAGCTTTGAATCTTAACCATGGCATACCTATAAGCTTTCTCACAATATATAAATCAAAAATTTAGTAATATAGTGAAATTAATATTGAAATAGTCATAATTCAAATATGTTGTGTACCTAAACATTAGTATCTACATAAATTAAATTATTATACCTAACACATAAATCAAAATATATAAGTTTTCTTCTGATAAAAATTAGTTTAAAAATAGTTTTTTTCATGAAAAGATACAGTTATATTTTTATCTTATTTTTTTTCTGAGTAATTTTCAAGGGCACAAGTATAAATAGTGAATTAATGAAATATAAGTATTTAACTATTGATTTATACCTTGTTTATCTTTTTACCTTATCACATTTTCCAGTCTGTAAAAGAGTTTTAAAAGTTCAATATAATTAATGTAATTAAAAATTGAACAGATGATAGTTGAATGTTGAACAGGTATTTTTTCAAATTTGAGAATAATTTTTTAGAAAATTTCGTACAACAGATAAATAAAGGTGACTGTAAGTCTTATGTTCAGCAATTTTTTCATTAAATTTTTATCATTTTTGCTTAATAGCTTAAAATATAAGAAATCTGAATTAGATAGTTTTCATCCTTATTTTAATTATATTTTATATCAGTTATAAACCTTTATATTGTTCTGAGCAAATTGAAAGAAAATATGTCTATTGTTAGGAATCCTTGGGCTCAGTTTTTATTTTATGTGGCACTAGAATCTTTATTCTAGTGTCTCCCACACACAAACTTTTGTATGGATTGACCTTGTGGAAAATTAACAAATATTTGTAATGACTAATAAACATCTTTACTAGCATTGATTCGTTGTTAATAACTTACTATCACAATATTATAATACCTACTTCTAATTTAATTTGTTAATTCAATAATTATAAGTTGTTATTTTAATTATAATATATTTATATATTATTATGTATCTGTGTATTGTTTATGCATGTGTATAAGACATATTATACGAGTATCAAGATTATAGAGCAACTAGAGTAGTACAATTATAGTGAAATGCATTGTTGTAACAGTATAAACTAATAATTACAATTAAAACGCATGGTAGTTAAATAAATTCATGTGGGTATAATTTAGATGTATACCTTATCAATGCTCACATGTCTTACATTTGGAATGAACCAAGAAATATATTAACTATACAGTGCTGTGTTAGTTTTTTGTTAGTTAACTAAGTCTATTCAAAAAGTACCAACACATTGAAATAAGATCCTTGATACTTAAAATTGTCACAAATAAATTATTCATGTATAGTTGAAGTAACACTATAGTTTAAAAATAATATTTAGCCTAAGTATAATAGTTGCTATTAAATGACTATTTATTTCAAGTGTTTGCTATTGATTTTAAATACTTTAGTACGCGAGTGATGAGTATATTGACTTTTCTGAATAATATGATTACTGTTTATATGAATTTTATATATTTGACACTTATACTCGATATAGTATATTTATTGTATTATAAATATGAATTAACAATTTAAAATTTAAGTCAGTAGTCTGTAAAAAGATTGAAGACTCATGCATAATTAAAATATAATATTATTTATTTATTTAAAGGCTTCAACTCAATTACAATGATATGTGATTGTGTAAAAATAAATATTATGCTAACTATAAAATTTGGTTTATTAAATTACAATAAATAAAAAAAAATCTAATTTAAAAAAAAATCTTGTAAGCATTTGAATTTTAAAAGTTAAAAATATTTGTGAGTATCACAAAAATTATTTTGTACATAAAAATGTAGACAATTAATTTTTTATAGCTTAAAAATATAATAAGTACAATATTCCTTATTAGTTGTTTTTGTTGTCATATCAAAATGATATGATAAATGCACATTTTCTATGTTATTTAAGGTTCAAATTTTGATGAAATTAAATTTTTGTACTAATAACAATGATTTTTGTAAAAATCAAAAATTATTTGGAGACTTGAGCTTTTCACCATCATGTATATCTTTAATTATTTCACAAACTAATACTTTCAAAATATTAAGACTAATTTTAAGCATTGTAATAATGCACAAATCAATTGTATTGGCCCTTGTTATCTTTGTCATGAAATAGAGCTATAATTAAAAAAATGTGCTATATATTCCCAGGAATACAATAATCTTGTTACACGTATCATAGTCCTATACAATTAACTTGTGCATAGCAATTCATAGTAAATATTGAACAATATTGAACAAACAATTCAAATATATTACAGTGGATTTGATTGAGTAGTGTTTTCTTTATTACCTATTAGATTAGCATTAACTATAAAAGTAAAATTGTTTAATATCGTGCCGTATTTTTGAAAATATTAGTAGATTTCATTCATTCAAATTTCAGCCGATTTTAAATTGTTTCTTTTGCATCTAATATGTAAATTATAAATAACTACAAAAGTACAAAATAGCTATTTTTGAACTTAAAATTTGTTTGTAATATTGTTTTTAAATTTTTTTCTAAGAACTTAGTAAACGGGAAACTATTAGTCATATATTACTTTTAAAAATCTGCACTAGAATAGTTGCATGACATTTTGAAATAGAGTTACTGACTTTCCAATAAATTAGAATGAGGTATAATAGGTATAAGAATATTATTCTGATTTTATATGAATACATATTTATGTTTTTATAAGTTAACTTCTAATTAATTAAAAATATTTAAACTATAAATTACTGAAAAAGAATGTAAATATGTATGGCTTAGTTATAATTAAATATTAAAATATTCTTCTTAATACATATAGTATAGCAATCTATCTCATAAGCTTTCTTTCACTTGGGCTATATGAAGATTGTCCTGTTTGTATATCCTACAAACTAGGAGCAGAACCCTTTTTTAAGAAGCTATATGATCAAAGTCCCAAAATAACACTTTAGAAAAATAAATAATAATATACTATGGAGATGCAGTTGATGTTCACGGCTAAATTATATGACAAGAATTATGAAATTATACCCTCTCAATAAACATCTCTTTATAAAAATGTTTTATTGTTCTACATAAAAAAACCTATTATATTCTAATAATAATGGTAATAATAAATATGTTTAGGCAATTGGTAAGAGTATTTATTTAGGAGATTTTATATTTTTGGAGAATAGTTTTTTATCAACTAAGTGCTCTGCAACTAGTCTATGCATGCTCTGATTTATTGATCTATTTTTAAATTACAAAATAATATTATTAAGCCCTTCTTAAATGTGTTAGTAAGATAAATAGAACAAAACTTAACATTGTATTCTCAGAACAATTATGATATCACCATTTAAAAATTTAACCTCAAATACACACAATTTATTCCAAAATAATATAGTTATTTAGTTCAAATATTATTCATAGTCTGAAGCATGATTAAAGTAAGCTGTCCATCGTGTGCTAAGTGGTGCATTTTTAATAGTGATTATCTATGAGCTGTATAGTCAAATCTCCCTCTATTGTACATCTGCACCTAAATTAATTTGAACTACTTATTTAGGGTCTTTAAATTTGTTAGCATGCAAAAATGGAATTGTGTATAATTTGTACTTTCATCACTGATGCACATGTCTTTGAAGACAGCAATACGGTAAAATGTTGAGTACCACTACCTACGATAGTAGGTTTGAAGAATTGGTCACGAGAGAGTGGGAAGAAGTGCTCATTTTTCATGTGCCTGACTATATAAGATTATTTATCTACAACTAATTCAATAAAGGCTTTATGCTGATAAATTGTAAATAATCAAATTTATATTTAAGTAGTTAAACAAATATTCTTTTTAACCCATACAAAGTAGAAAAATCTTATCTAATAAACTTTGTATGCATTTGTTTAGTCTTATAAATTAGATTACTTTCATGCTATCAAATTTTAAAAATATGATATTTAACATGATGGGAATTACAATGTTATGTAAGTCTTGAGAGCTTTTGATTTCTATTAATTTCAGGTTTGGATGTTTGTAACGTTCCATTATTCAAAATAATTAAAACATATTTATTATTTTGACTTGTATCTATAATTCCTATATAAATATAATTTATATTATTCTTATAGAAAATTTCTTATGGATTACTTATGACGTATAATGATAGAAGGTGTGTCAAGAAGAACCTTAGCAGGATCGAGTGGCACATACAATGTCCGTGCTACCGAATTGGCTGTAGATCGTGGTCGTTTAAAGTCAATCAATGCTACTGTTGTATTTCTTGATGACACTCAGCATTGTTTTAAACTTGACGTAAGTAAATAAAATATTTAGTAAGAAATTAAATTTTAAATGCTTGTATTAGTTATATTTAACTATGTTATTCATATTATTAATTATATGAATAAAATTAAATATTTAGAAAAGAGCTAAAGGTGAAGCATTACTAGAAGCAGTATTTCAACACTTAGAATTAATTGAAAAAGATTATTTTGGCTTACAATTTACCGAAAATGGGGTAATTCCATCGGCAACAAATACAGATATTTTGGTATGCGTTTATTAAATTATTATTATTCAGTAACCTAATCTTGACTAATATTTTTATTTTTAATACCTTTAGAGATGGCTGAATCCAAAAAAAAGTGTTAAAAAACAAATGAGAGGTAATCTATTATTATTATTGAGCATGTAATTTAAATTAATTTTAGTATAAAACAATTAAATCTTGTTTAAGACAATTTGTATTTATTTTTTTTTAAATTCAAACAGTTTTACATAAACAACATAAATATACTAATATCAACATTATTAAATAAATGACTATATTATTATTTATTTTGTTATTTAATGATTTCAGGAGGATTTTTTTATTTTTGTGTAAAATTTTATGTGTCTGATCCAAGTAAACTTCAAGAAGAATATACACGTTATCATTTGTATTTACAATTACGAAAAGATATTTTACATGGAAAACTTCTTGTGTCTCCAAGTACTGCTTGTCTTCTTGCCAGTTACACTGTTCAATGTAATTTAAAATTGTTAAAACAAAATAGTTTATAAAGTATAAATAAAATATTAATTCAACTTTTTAGCTGAACTTGGAGATTACCACCCTGAAGAACATAAGCCTGGGTATATATCTGGAATGGTTCTTATACCTGGTCAAACAGAACAATTGGAAAATCAAATTTCTGAATTACATAAATTACACAAGTAAATTATACATAAATATCTAAAAACAAATATAGGTGTGTGATACAATTTTTTTAATTATTAGGGGTCAATCTCCTGCCGACGCTGAATTTAATTTTTTGGATCATGGAAAGAGATTAGATATGTATGGTGTTGATTTACATAAAGCAAAAGTGGGTATTTTTTATAATAAACTTTTACATTCATATCTAATATATAAATTTATAAATTGTTATATTTTGTTAAATACTAGGATTCTGCTGATAAAGAATTAGATATTGGAGTTACATGTAATGGTTTAGTTGTATTTCAAAATAATATTCGTATAAATACATTGTCATGGGCAAAAATAGTAAAAATATCATTTAAGCGAAGACATTTTTTTGTTCAACTACGAAGAGAAATGGTAAAAAAAACGGCATTGAATGTTTAACACTAATATTATAGATATTTTATGTTTAAGAGTTTAAAATTTCAATCATTTACAGTCTGAAAATTATGATACAGTATTGGGCTTTAATATGATGACATATCGTTCATCTAAACATTTATGGAAATCTTGTGTTGAACATCATTCATTTTTCCGACTAAATCAACCCATTTGCCCATCAAATAATCGAGGATTTAGACGATTGTTGCCAGGACCATTTCTTCTTGGTTCACGATTTTCATATTCGGGACGAACTGAAATACAAACAATAGAAGAGAGTCGTATGTCACAACCACGACCTCACCGAACATTTCTTAGGTTATTATTTTTTTTTTTTTTATTCAATCATTTAAGCAATAATAATTTACTAATTTATATTTAACTTATAAAATAACAACTGTTATGAAATGTTGTAATATTTTGTTCTAAAATTATTATATAAACACTAACTATATTTATTAGTTTTTAGAGAAAATCTTGTATTTTAAAATTATTTAGGTTTATAAACTAAATTTTTTGTCTTTAGATTCAAAAGTAAATACTGTTCTAAACAACCAGTTAACAACAATACGGAAAGTAAGAGCTCGAAATCAATTCTCAAATCATCTACTAAGGGATCACATGATAATAAAGTAAAGTCAGTTGATAAAGAACCAAGACCAGCTTGGGGTCCTACTTCATCACTTGTATCAGATGAGTAAGTAATACATTACTTTAGAGAAACAGCAGCATCTCATCAAATTTTATACTGAAACAACCTTAAAACATGAGTTTAAAGGAATTCTGAAGCCATTTCTCAACAAGTTTAACATTTTTTTTATTCAAAACTTTTTGTAAAGCAGTTAAGATTTCTTTACTCATTAAAATTACCCCCATGCATATCGTCATTTAGCTGCTTTACAAAGTAATCTCCATCTAAAACAAAACTGAATTTTATGCTTTTTTCCATATAAACCTTGGGGTTGCTGTTAACTTAAATAAAATAAAAATAAATTTTAACATTCACTTTATTTTTCACATTTAAACTATGTTTTTTCAGTGAAGGTGGATTTATATCTTCAGCTGTCCGCCCAAGTAGCAGTAGTAGTGGAACCGGATTAGCTGCAACTGGCCGAAATTATGTTGATGATGATATGTCTAGTAGTATTTATGATATCCCAGCATATGATACAGAATCTTCTTTGGTAATATATTATAATTCAATATACTATTTTATAGCCTAATTGTCTAAATTAATACATAAACTTAATGATTCATGACATTGGTTATTTCAATAATCAATTTATGAAATCTGTTATGGAAGACTTGTTCCATTTAAAACATATAAATTGTTCAACTTATTCAATAATAATTAATATAAAATATATCAATTTGTCTAATTTCCATTAAATATACCTGAATTATACACTTTTATTTTATTTTCCCATAGCAATAATACATGCCAAGCATATTTTATAATGATACTATTGATTAAATGCTAATAATTAAAATTTCATATAAATAAAAAACTTATCTTTACCTGTATCATGCATATGTATTACAGGGTTGTGAAAATAATGTTGTTTGCATTCATATGAATGCTGATGAGGAAGGGAGGTTTGGATTTAATGTAAGAGGTGGCTCAGATTTAGGATTACCAATTGTTGTGTCCAGAGTTGTTCCTAACACAGCAGCTTATCGATCACAACCTAAACTATGTGAAGGTGATCAGGTTAGTACATTTTACTCATACCAATAGTATTTTACAACTTAATTTTATATTGTTTTACTCGATATATAAATATAATTTTTTAAGGTAATTCATAATTAGTATTTGTATTAATTAATTTGTAAATTATTAATAATATCAAATAATTTAGGTGTTAATGATAAATGGACAAGAAGTCAGTGAGATGGTCCATGATGATGTTGTAAATTTAATTAGAGCAGCAAGAGATGTTGAACACGATGGAAAATTAGTTTTAACAGTACAACAAAAAGGTATATACCATATAAAACAATGTCATAAATTGGGAATAATATTAAAATTACAATTTTGGGTATTTAAAATACGATATTGAATTTAATTTAATTTAAAGATAACGAGTAGAAAATATATTTTATAATACATTTATCTCTATAGTTATAGGTAACTTATAATGTTATTTTATTTTATATTTAATAAACAATAATTAAACACATTTTTTAAAAATAAATTATAAATTTACTTATAAAGTTATGTTTTTTATTCTAAAACTTGGTAACCATGTAAATAAAATCTATGATATGATATTAAAATACATAGACCAGTTATTATGACAAAATATATGCAAGGTTATTTGAGTATACACATTAAAAAACAATTAAAAATGTTGATTCAGTCACTAAATATTACAATGTAGTAAAACATGTATTTGTATCTTTGGGTATATCTTTGGTTTATTTAATATTATTCAATTAATTTTTTAGTCATTTTTCAACTTTTTTGTGCATTATGAACTATTTGTGTATATTTTATGATGTATAAAAAAAATCCCTCAATGTTATGTTATAATGTGCAGGTGATGATGATGATGATGATGACTGTTTGAAAGAAAAAGAAGAAGAACCTTTATTTCAGTACATACCAGAATCTCCACCAAGTGTTATGTCATCTGATCCATTGATTCAGTCTATATTACTGCTAGGAGATGGTTTAGCGAGTGGTTCTTTACTAACACAGTTTGAACAGCTATACAGGCATAAACCAGAAACTCCTATGGATAATGCAAGAACCTCTCAAAATATACATAAAAATAGATACCGCGATATAGCTCCATGTAAGTAAAATTCTTATTAGTCTAGAAAATTTATGAAACTTTTCAAGTATGCAGGGTAACAGAAAGATCTGACAAAAAAAAAAAATTGATGCTACTTAAACGTGTGACATTAGTAAACATTAAATGGATAATAAATAATTAAAGAAGTATACTTATTTCAGAAAGTTCTCAAAAATAATATTTTGAAAAAAGTTATTATGTTTTAAATTAATTCACTCAAAAAAATGTTAATGTATAAAAACATTCTAAAAACTTAAGTACTTGACTAAGATAAATGTCTTACCATAAAAAATGGTTCTTACGATCATTTGGGTTCGATCATTTTTACGAATTGGCTATTTTGAGATTTTCTAAAATAATTTAAATCAAATTTTGAAATATTTATTTTTAGTTTCAAGAAATATATTTAAAAAATATATACTTTAAACATAGCTCTAGTTTTTATAAACTATATAAAAGAAAAAAAAATTTGATTATTTATTATAACAAAAGTTGTTGCACCTAGTCAGTTCTTTTTATTTACACACAGTATACAATATATGTAATGAAAAAAATAATGTACTATTTCATCATCATATTACTCTATATAGAAATAATATTTAATTTCTAACAAATAATATTTGTTAATTAAAAATATTAAATGTTCTAAATCAACGGTTCTCAAACTTTTTTTTTGCGTACCACTCATGTGTATTATTAATCTGTCGCTTACCACTTATGTCTATTTTCATGTGACCATGTTCAAACACAATTTAAAATATTCATTTATTTACTCTCCGTTCTATCTCTTTGTGGCCTTTTGCGTACCGGCGTGTAGTCTTCCGTGTACCATAGTTTGAGAATCTGTTCTAAAGTGCAATTAAATACTAAGTTTTCTTTTAATATTGTTTAGATGATATAACTCGATATATTATCAAGAATCAGGACCATGACTATATTAATGCCAACTATATAAATATGGAAATACCAGGTTCAGGAATCATTAACAGATACATAGCAACACAAGGTTTGTAAATATATACTAAAATATATTAAATTAAAGTTATTGGTTATTTGAGTTTACACTTGGTTTATTTAATTTTAATAGGACCACTTCAAACAACAATTAGCGATTTCTGGTGTATGGTATTGGAATCTCGTAGTACTTTAATTGTTATGGTCACTGCACTTGTTGAAAAAGGTCGTCAAAAATGTGCTAAATATTGGCCAGCAATCAATGAATCATTAGAAGTTAACAGCAATATAACGTTAAAAATGGTTTCCGAGGAAACAGATACTTCTAACATTATTGTTTACCGCCAAATAGAGTTAACTGAAATAAGTGTAAGTATTTTTAAGATTATGATGTCACATCTGCATTTGTTGTCTCTGTTTTACAAGCTTGTATAGCAAATTTATGTCTACCCATTAACATTTGGTTTTGTTAATTTTAATATTTAAGTAAAGAATTGATTAATTATCAAACTAAAACTTAACTTGTTTAATGTTAATGAATACAAATATATTTTTATTTATGAAATCAAACCTCAGAACATTTTTTATCTTGCTTTATGTATTTTTTCTATTTGCTGTTCATAAATTGATTTTTTGTATAAACGTGCATGCTAGTATCTAATACAGGTAATAAATTGTATCAGTGGTCAACATATGCAGCACTAATGATAATTTACTACTCACACAAAAACAATCCGTGCCTCCGCGTATTATAAATACTAAGCAAATTAAACATAAGCCATTAACAAAATAAGGCTTTTGTAGAGGCTCAAAAACAATGTCATGAAACAATATTGATGTGATTCTCAATCAATTGATGCAATAATATTGAAACCTTCTATGTTTAAAACTTTCATTCTATCCCAACTAAATTAATAAGCCACATTCTTTTCAGTAATGATTACAAGTTTACCTTTTTTTGGATATAATTCATACTTAATTTTAAAATTAATTTTTACAGACTAATGAAACTAGATCTGTTACACAACTTCAATATAGTTTATGGCCTGATCACGGTGTACCAGATGATTCAGATCGTTTGCTAAATTTAGTAGGAGCTGTTCGTAAAGAACGTGCAGGTGTCGTCGAACCTGTTGTTATACATTGTTCAGCTGGTATTGGACGTACAGGAGTGATAATTTTATTGGAGACTGCATTATGCTTAATAGAGGCAGGTCAACCTGTCTATCCACTTGAAATTGTTCGGCAAATGCGTGATCAACGAGCTATGATGGTACAAACTTCAGTAAGTACTCTTTAAGTGGAATATACGATCTACATTTACCTTACATTTGGATGTACATCTATCAATTTATCGCAATTATGTATGTTATGTCAGTGTGTGTTTGTGAGTGTCATTTCACTCGTATTATGTTTGTAATCTTGATTTTGAAATAGTGTATTAATTGATATATTATTGTTAATTAATAATTTACTTTTTTTTTTAGAATCAATATAAATTTGTATGCAGTTGCATACATTATGCATTTACACAGGGTATTGTGAAACCATTGCCGGAATATAGTCAACAATAAAATAATCCGTACTTTGGTGTAACTGCAGTAATCCCTTGAAAAATGTATTTATTTATTTATTTATTATATTTTTATTTATACATTTGCTTTTTTTCTTTTTTGACATTTAAACACTAGAAACATTTAATATTATATTATTATTTATTATTTGTGTACAATGACGTGACTGCATATTAGCATCTAAAATTTTTCTTATAGATTTATTATTTGTAATTCCTTATTGATTTAACCATTCTTTCTTTCCCTTTAATTCTTAATTTATTCAAATGCTCTTAACTAACTTCATTGTATTGTCTAAAGTCTATTCATTTTCATAAATGTATTATTGTACTTCAAATATGTATGTAATTTATTTGTCCTTAACATGTTATTAAAAAACTCTTTGTTTGCGGTTATTTACTAATAAAAGAAATTACTTCAAATTAAGTTGTATGATTTTTGTATTGATAGAAATAAAAATACTACTTCTGTTATTATGTTTTAACTTTTAGATGATAAATTTATTTCTGAGATTCATAATATTTATACACAAAGTACATATAATTTGTACTGAATAAAGTGATATTTTAATAAAATATTATGTACACACCTACACATTTATATTACCACTACTTAGTAAATTACACAAATATTTAGCCGTCTGCCTTACATTTACAGTTAAGATTTAATTGTATTCCACTTAAAGTACTAATAATTTTAAACTACCCCAAAATTAATATTATTCAAGTATCAAATTGTAACTATTAAATAAAGAGTATTATAATATCCATAACTGTTTCATTAATATGCTTTTTATTTTATACAACAATATTAATATATTATGTACCAATTTTAACAGATTACTATGTAGTAAAACTGAGCATATATATTGTAAATATACTCAGTGGCACCAAATTTGTTTTTTTTATGTGGTGAAAATTGTATTATTTATAACCATCCCATCTACTACCTTTGAAAGTTCAAGGAACACCAATTTTAGTAACAACTAAAATAAATGATTTACTTGGTTATAGTAAACTGTTTAATTTAACCACCCACCTAATTTCCAGTACAAATCCTTGATTCTAGATTGTGCAAATTCAACACCTTAAGTATGTATTTGCCACCACTACTCAATGGCACTGAATACATTATTATAATATACTTTTGGTTTTGAAGCTACAAACGCATATCAGACATAATTGGAAAACAAAATATAATAATTTGTGTTCCTCAGCTGCTGAGTTACCATACATTATGAATTGTCACTCAAAAATATAAATTTTTGAAAACCAAGTATTGTGAAATTAAAAAAATCATTTTTAATTAACTTCTCAAGAAAAATTAACTGAAATCTATAAAAATTGCTAACAATTTTTTTATGTTTTTTTTTCTAGTATCATTGATTATGAATAGTAATCAATATTAATGATCAATGCATTTAGGGCTGAAAATGTAAAACACAGTTTCTATAACTATAACTAAATAAAATAATTATTGAACAGCTGGGTTGGGTTGAAGTATATTTTATATATATTTGAATCCGATTATTACATAAGCGGTATAAAAGTGTTTAATGAAATGAATCTCACTAAGTTCTAAGAAAACATATATTTTACGGTACACATTTCTCATATGGATACATTTTATCTGCACTTTAAAATAATTTGGTGTAGTAACTACAAATGGAAACTTAAAAATGTATACTATAGGATATAAAGAACATTTTAATAAGACAAGAATTGTTTTATTATTTTTAATCTAAATATCTGCCACTAGTTCTTTATGCAACAGTCTTCGGTGGATTGAACATAACATCCAAATTTTTGATTTCCTCTGTAACAATTAATAGTACAAATAAATAACTGTTAATATCAAGTTTTGTGGGTGGGTAGTATCATAAATTTTAGTGGTGTTATTTTAGTAGGAATTATTATATTGCAATGGTTGTCTAAGAATATATAATTGTATCACTCATTGAATCGCCCCTGGAAAAAACACTGGATTTCAAGAGTGCATTTAAAAAAAATTAACTGTTAAGTATAGAAGAAATTAATTTGTTACACTAGTTATTGAATAATAATTTTGAGATAGTATAATTAGACAACAAAGGTACTAAAAAATTAGGTTAGAAGTATGATGTCAATTATTTTTATTTTTGCAAGGATCACATAATTTAGATTGGGCGATTGTAAACTCCAACAAATCCACAATAACTTAGTTCATACATTACAATTAATTGTTTATAATAATATGAACATATAGGTTTAAAAAATTTAGGATTGAATAGGTATATAATATTTAAATTTCAATAAAAAAAGTCAATTAATTAAATTTAGTAATTAACAAAAATAATAATAATTTAAATCAATTTAAAATTGAATTAACATTTTAATTTAATTTTTATAATGATATGAATATGCAAATATAATTAAGGTATTATTGGTCTGTATCGCCTACAATTTTTTGTGACATCATTTTTAAACAACTTAGGGAGGTTCACATATCCTTCAGGTAAGCATAATAGTGTTGCCCCAGAGTTAACTCGTTTTAAAAATCGGGAGCATACCACCGCTCTTTAAATCAAACTAGCTAAAGCCACAACATAACTGAACCAAACAATATTTAGTTATATTGAAAACATCTAGTTTAGTTCTATATTATAAACTTAAATTTTTATATTATTATAACCAATTATGTTAGTTAATGTTAATTAATAATCACCTTCAGCAAATTTCTTCTTCTCTGCAGCAATCTTGGCTTCTCTATCGGCAATCTTTTGATGACGAACATCCCGTGTTTTATCTTCTTTCTTTTGGAGATAACTGTGTCTAGTAGCTCCATAGGTTACACCTAACAGTAAGAAGCTCCATCTGCCAAACTAAAAAACAATAAAATATTAAATAAATTAGTTGTTATTGAAATAAATATTACTTATGCATATATATTACCGACAAAGCTCAAACACTAGGTGAAGCTAGGTTTTACTAGTTAAATAATAATAATTATTACCTACATTAGTATTTTTTTTTGTTTAAGGTGTATCCACAATTGTGGGTATCATAAACTATATATTATAATTAATACTAATTACTTTATGTAAAGAAAAAAAGTATTTGCATAGGTATTATGCGTTCTATATTAAAATATTACATACATATACATCAAACTTTTTCTCAACTTAAATAGTTGGGCAGCAAGGATTTTTGAGAGATGTTTACCATAAAAAATATCCATAGTAAATAAACTAAGCAATAGAAAGTGCTACAATAGTATACTAATATATACAATATATACTGTGTGAATAAATAATAAATTTTTCAAATTTTTTTTTTAAAGTAATTAAAATAAATATTAGTGATTTGTTTTAATAATATATAGTTGAAATATTCAAACAAAAAATGTAGGAATCTTAATAAATAAATGTATAATTTAATTTAATTTAATATAATAAACTATCTATCTGAGTAACATACTTATTTTTTTTTTATTATCATTAAAATTGTATATTTATTATAATAATGCCTTAATTAGCTAGGTGTTAAGCGGATTAGTGGAATTTGGACATCCTAGGTTGTCCATACATTTTTTTTTAATATATTTGTAATAGCAACCTACAACGAGACTAATATCAGTCATTTGAGCAAATACTAACCTAACCAAGTATTGGGAATATAATCGTTTAATATTAAGCTACTTTGATCTATTTTTGTTAGAAAGTTTTCAATAACTCGCATTTAAAATGGGTATTATAGATAATTCATAACTTTAACAACTTTGAATAACAAAATATGTTCCATAAAAAATTGCCTAAGATCTTAGACTTCAAAATATTTACATACCTATAACCGAGAAATTCAGATGAAAGCATTGACATGACTCTTCACTACTTTTTAAACTTTCTAAGACTATAATTTCATACTGTAGATGTATTGAGAAACTTAACAAAAAAATAATTTTTATTCAATCAACAAACTTAATGCTAATCAATGATTGAAAATATATATATATATTCGCCAATAACATTTATCACTAACTAGATTATTAAATTTTATTCAAATATTTGAGAAATAATATTTATGACCTTCACTTGACATTTAAAGTATTGCTAATATAAAAAAAAATAATTTTAAATACTTTACTTAACTACCTACTAACATAACAACAATTAAATCTTTAAAGTGAATGAAGTAGTTAACATTTGGATATTATTAATGATATTTATCAAATATTTAAAGTATAACTTATACTCAGTATAAGTGTCAATAGATTGAAAGATTTGTATGACCCCTATATCAAGCAAGCATTATTAAAAATAGATGCTGTTCATAATATGAATACAATTCCAAAAATATGTTTAGTAAAAAAGGTGATACATAATTGCATGAGTCTACATTTACTATCCGGTAATCAGTATCAAGAATTTTCTAAAGCACGCCAAATTTTTGGTCCGGATATGGGTACATCATGAACAATACCCCATATTATTGGCATTTTTTTTCAACTCATTTAACATTAAGAAATGTCACTGTAGATCAAACATTATGGAGCACGCATAATTTCACCGAATATGATATAAAGAAATGCGATTCCGGGTCTAATGATCAACGAACAACCGTACCTATGCAGATGTCTATCTACGCAAACTAACGCACAATGGTTTTAACATTTTATTGCGAGTAAATGATTTGAAGTACTTAGAAACAGATCGTGTGTTTCTCAACACACACCTAAAGAAAAATTAAATGATTGAAATGGCCGAACAGCATATTTTCGAGCATGTCGGCAAATTGTCTGGGTACATAAAAACGCTTACCCTGATGAGTGGCGACACATTGACGGGTGCTTTGAAGTCTCTCGGCATTTTGGTAATTCTTGGAACGAGATTAGTGTTCGAAAATCAACGATCTTTACACCGTGAACCTAAAAAATACTTAAGTCTCGTACTTTCAGTGATTTGGGTGTAAGTCAGCTGCCTGGCTGTGAAGAAATTAAAAATTATTGCTCGGGAATCTGATAGTGGGAATGAGATTTTCATCCGGGCGTACCAACCCAACGGTCGCATGTTATCGTACGATATTATTATAGTAAAATATTAACCGTCACATTTTGCGCCATAAAAAATTATTTGAAAATCGTAATTCTGTTCTATAAAGCAGTATCTAATATCATAAACCATAATTTTTTTTACTATTAGTCAAACTTTCAGTAATATTAGGGGTTCGCGTTAAAAAATGTTCTTGTTATTAGTGCAATAGACACTTGGAAATATTGAATGCTATTTAAATGTTTATTGTGTACCTACATAATTTTGTAAAGAGTGTTTTTTGTTGTTATGTTTATTGTTTTGATGTTATAATGTATCATCGTCGAAATAGGTTATTCAATTATTGTACCTATCGACTATCGTATAATTTATTTTTACCACATCAACATATTACACATTATTTATCTTTTTGAACATTTTATATTTTTATCGTTATCGATTTTCATGTTTTTTCCTTTGTGAATGACAACATATTATAAATACGAGCATATGCATACTATATACTGGTGCATAGTGAAATATGTAAAAAAAATGTCTCTGGATATTTACATTAGTTTTTTCTATACTCCATACATTTTCAAAAATGTTTGACTTGTTTTTTGAGCTGTTTACGGACATTTTCAGTTTCCCAATTCTTTAGTCTTTTTTTCTATAAGTGTCAATAAAGTGTGAAAATTGAAAACAAGGCTTCTGATAAATTTTTACAATAGCAGTTGCCAGTTGAAAAATATTAAAAATACATATGCACAATTTTGTTTCATAAGCATTCAAAGTTCAAATTTTGGCAAAATGTATCAAATTGAACATTTTCAAAATATTTTGCAGTTGAATATTTTATAAATATTTTACAGCGAAGCATCAATTTTAAATTTTAAAACAAATAGTTGAACACAAATAGTTGATTACGTAACCAAAAATCTAGAAAATACATTAACATAGTTTTGTTTACAGTCATTTTAAATTCAAATTTGGACGAAATTATAAACCTAAACCAAGAATAACAGTCATAGTTATTTTTTTATAATTTAAAAATAATATTTGAGAGTACTTAAACTTATAGAGTAGGTATATTATTATATTTTAAACACATTACATATAATGTAATTTTTCAACAGCAATGAATCTAGCCTACTGCAGTACTAATGGCTAATATATAATAGACTCGTTTTAAACTGTTTATTGTTATTTTCAGTTTTCAATTTATCAAATTTTGTAATAATTTTTTTCTGTAAATGTCAAAATTTATTTAGTGAATCAAAACGCTTGTTACGTACAACAGCAGTTAAAAAATATTACAAATACATGCGCACCTTTTTTTTATAGGCATTTAAACTTCACATTTTGATAAAATGTATCAAATTGAAAATTTACAAATTATTTTGTAGTTAATAATGTTGTATAGAATATTTAACTTTTAAAACTTATAGTAATGAAAATTTTAAAAAAATGTTGCACTTAAATAATTACTTCTGTATCCAAAAAATCCAAAAAGTATATTAACACAGTTTTTTTAATAGTTATCTTAAGTTTCAATTTGGACAAAATAACATATTCAAACCATAGACTAACGATTTTAGTTATTTTGCTGAAATTTAAAATATTATTTGTGGGTGCTTGAAATTTGAACAATAGGTATACTATAATATTTTATACTTACAATGACATTTTCAAACGCAATTTTTTTGACAAAAATGAATAGTTCATAGGTACACACCGTCACACCGACTTAAAAAAAGTCCAAACATCAAATGTTAAATATGTACTTTAAATATACTTATCTATGTGTACTTATAGGTACTTTAATAAGGAAATGATTGAAATAACTTAATTAACTAATTAGGTAACCTAATTAATTAGGTTTTATGTGGTTTGTTAACAATAACATAAAAAGTAAATATACGATGGGCAAATTTATTGTGATTTCAGAAAATTCTAAGAACATACCTCATTACTGCAATTTATAATAATGTGAATGTTTGGTATTTTAAACTAAAAACACGGTTTTTTAGAAAAATTAATAGTAGGTTTTTTGGCCATATAATTTCCAATTCTTTTTTGAAAGTACCATTCCATCAAATTAAGAATGCAAAATTCAAAAAAATCACATGAGAGCTAAGCTAAATTTATGCCATTACTTCACTCACAATAATATCATACATTTATAAAATATATCTACTTAGTAATATTTTAGGCTGACCCTGACAACTGTCCCTCAGCCTACCCTTTTCCTATTCCATTATCTAATTATTTTAAAGTTTATAATATTCTTAGATCATATACAAATATAGTGTTTGATCTAAAATAATATTAGTATGAATCACAATTAAAGATGCCATACTCCAATCTTTAATCGTGGTATGCCTATATTTGCTTAGCCACGAATCACGAACTAAGATATAACTTAGTTCGTGCCATGAATATTAGTTTAGTTTATTAGATAATATATCTGTGCATATCATAGACATATTATATTATAATCATCGAGATATATAAACAGTATTGTTTAGCTATCTCGATTCTCGATGATTATAATAAATAATTTTAATAATATTATTATGTCTATGCCCTATGGTGCATAATGCATATAATTAATTACATTTATGAATTTATTATCTATGGCTCCAACTCTGCGATATAATAAAAGAGATAAAGATAAAATTTACGATAAATCACGATTATAATATTATTATTATTATTTGTGTACAAATCACGGGAATCGCGGACGTTTCGCCCCCGCCGTTTCGTCCCCGTCAAAAAAACAAGTCCACGGACGTTTCGTCCCCGTCTATTATTAAGATAGGACATTTGGCCCCCGGGAGTTATATAGATTTATTTATACCTACCCATAGGACGTTTGACCCCCGGTTAGGTTAGGTTATTACTAGGGCTCGGATTTATATGTATTTATATAACCAAAGTATGTATTTACACAATAAAAATATGTACATAAATATGTGCTAAAGAATTCAAAATATATATTATAAAAAAAAAAAAAAATGATCAATTGCTATGGATTTTTCACAAGCAGTACAATACAAAATGTGACCGTCACTTTTTAAAATAATGTTCATTTGGATATTCAGAAACATATTTTATTGCTTTGCAAGACGATCGTACTTTTAAATATAACGAACAACGAGACCACGAAACACACACTACAATGTCACATTAAAAAGTACACATTTATCGCAGTGTTCGCTCGCTCGTGTTTAACGCATTTAAAAATGAGTTAATCGTAATACATTACGATAAGATATCTGATATTTCAATTGATAAAATCGTATCTAGAAATAATCGAAAATATAACAGGTTGAGTGTTATGGTCGTTTGTAATCAAGGATCATCAATGTCAAAAATACGTCCGGTGGACCCCACCGACCACACGATATTATACTAGTCGTGAACTACTGCGCAAAACTAGTACAACTGTGATGATACCTATCTAATTTGTCATAGGAAAAATGTTATAAACGTTTTCTATTTATATTGTAAAGACTAAATAATATTTTATACCTGCCCTGGATACTATAATAGTATATACACAGAGCACACTACGCAGTAATAGTTTGTCTGTGTAATTGTGCGTACGGCTTCAGTGAACTATGGAGGTGTTGACCACGAAAAGAAATAAGAAGAAATTAGTGCACAACGATTATTTATATTACAAACAAAAAAATGTGAAAATTGGTATCCGGTGGGTGTGTGTTCACAAAGGGTTATGTGATGGATCAGTTACAACTGACGATGGAATCAATTTTGTTTTAAAGTTTGGAGATCACCATCATAAAGGTAACACTGACCTAATAAATGCAGAAAGAGCTAAATGTATTATGAAGAACGCAGCAAAACAAAACTACGATATACCGTCTCGAATTTTTGCACTTAATGTAATCCCATTATCCAACGAAAGTAGACAGTTAATTCCGAAAGAAGATTCGATGAAAAGGACTTTACGGCGTGTCCGTAGCAATATTTATCCTAAAATTGCAAAAATAGACGATATCATATTGGAAGGAACACAGTGGAGTACAACCGGTGGAGAACTCAATCCAGAACCATTTTTATTTTACGACAACAAAAATAATAATAATCGTATTATAATATTTTCTTCAAAAACGTGCCGCGAAATTTTATCTGAAACTAAAATAATTTATATGGACGGAACATTTTCAACTTGTCCTTCTGAATTTTACCAAGTATACATATTACATGCAAGCATAAATAATTTAATAATTCCTGTGATGTACGCTTTGCTTCAACGTAAAAATAAGGACACTTATATTGAGTTATTGTCTGCTATACGGGATCAATTTGTATCGCTTTCAATAATTTCTATTGATTTCGAACAATCTGTAATACAGGCTATCAAGGAAGTATTTCATGATGAAGTATCGGTGCAGTTATGCTATTATCATTTAAACCAGTCCATCTGGCGAAAAGTTCAGGACTTAGGTTTGGCTATAAAATATAAAGAAGACAAAAACTTCAGATCAGCCGTAAAAATGATTCCTGCATTAGCATTTCTTCCAACCAATACTGTAAAAAGAGGTAATTTATATTTTTTTCAAATAATATTTTTGAATCGCGGAAAAAAAGTCCCGGTAAAAAAAGTTCCACACTAAGAAAAAAAAGTCCCGGTAAAAAAAGTTCCACACTAGGAAAAACAAGTCCCGAGTAGGTCACAAGGTACATACTTATTTATTTTTATTTACCATATTTTCGAATGGGGGGGGGGGGCTAAACAAAGTAAATCAAAATTTGACATCTTAACAAACTAGTTTCAATAAAGTCTTATAGCTGTTAATAATTGTAATATTTCATTATTATATACCGTCCCCTAAGAACCATCATGGCCAATCTCAGTTTTCCCAACTTTTCAGGGTGAACAAAAAATTTAAAATATAAAATGTATTCCATAACACGGCCAATGGGGGGGGGGGGAAGCCCCCTAAGCCCCCCCTGGATACGCCACTGCACTACAATAAGTAAAAAGTACAACTGTACAACTGCAGTATAAGAAATAAAAATATATAATATGTACAAGCATTTTATTCATTACACTTACACACTAAAATACAAAGCACAACTTACTTTTTTTTCGGGACTTTTTTTTCCTAGTGTGGGATTTTTTTTACCGGGACTTTTTTTTCCGATTACCAATATATTTGTTATGTAGACACATTACACATACTTCAGTGTTTGGAATTTTTATTAGGGATGTCAATACTATTCAATTCATTAAAGTCTATTGAAGAATTGGACGACATTTTGGTGTACTTTAATTCTACATACGTTAATGGAACATACAAATCTATTCCTACAGAGTACGGTACGATTAGGTTAGTTCGACGTCCGCCAATATTTTCTCCGTATATGTGGAACGTGTATAATGCCACGAAAGAAGGTTATGGTCGAACCAACAACGTGTCTGAAGGGTTTAATAATAAATTTAAAAATATTGTAAGAATTAGACACCCAAACATTTTTATTTTTATCGAGTCCTTACAGATGTGCAATGCATCTGCAGTGACTGCATTGACAAAAAAAAGAAATGAAATTATAAATATGCCAAAAATAAATCATTACAAAGATAAAATAAAACAACATTGTAATGAATTTAAATGTAATAATGATAATGATATTTTATATTTTTTGAAAAGAATAAGTGATCTAATATGAATAATTGTGTAAATGTATTTGTATTGTAAATGACGTGATTGTGATTTTAATCTAATAAAAATTATAATATATAATTAAAATATTATAATATATAATATTATATTTGTACAAATTATTATTACTATCATTATAATTGTTTTTTTATTATGAATTTAAATGTTAAGTTAAAAAAAAAGATTTAAATTTGGTTATTTAAAATTCCAGGGGCCAAACGTCCTATGGGTAGGTATAAGTAAATCTATAAACTCTCGGGGGCCAAATGTCCTATCTTAATAATGGACGGGGACGAAACGTCCGTGGATTCGTTTTTTTGACGGGGACGAAACGGCGGGGGCGAAACGTCCTTTTACCAAATCACGGATAAAGTCTGTGCACAGAATAGATATACAGTTAGTATAGATTATTTCTCTATGGTATAGATATCTGTGAGTCTGTGGTACGAATATATCAATACCTAATAATAATAATAACACGTATATTATTATTAATTTTTGTCTTGTGATAAGAAATAAGAATATTCTTTTGTTGATACTTGATACCGACTTTCCGAGGGTTATGCATTTGAAAAATTGATAAACTTGTTCAGAGTGTTTAGACTCAACTGATGAATTTATAATTTTTATTAATTTTTGTTTTTGTTTATTAGTTATTCGCCGAAAGTTATTCAAGTGTTTCTCTCGACTGACTAACTTTTTTAGTTGTAGCAACTATGGAAATTTCTAGACGCTTTTTCGAAATACTCAAGTCCACTAATTATCATGTTGGACACTTACCCAGAGAGTTATTTGCCAACGAAGAACAGCTTCCCGAGTTATTACCTATTTTCACGGCTTTAATCAATAACATCACACTAAAATCAAATTGTTTGACACCTAAGGAATTGGCACTGTAAGTTTATTCTATCATTAATTTCATTATGTAAACTCATTTCTTTTAGAGAATTAATACATTTCCCTAGTACCTAAATAATTAACAAGTGTGAACTCAAAGTGAATTAATTTTGACTACTTAAATAATGTTGAGATATTTGAACCTAATTTTCAAACATATTTTTAATAATTTTACAAATTTGCACATAGGAATTGTTGTGTTCAACTGAAATTGATTAAAATATAATCATACTTTTATAATGAATATTATTTATTATTATTATTATTAACTGATAAATAAAAATATGCTTATGTAGATTTGTTGCTTAAATATTCAATAGTGTTATAACTATGGTTTTGGGTTCTTAGAGTGCATAATACCCATAGGTATGTGCTCTGAATTTTAATAACTATTGAAGAATATTCTAAATAAGTTAACATTTATTTTGTTAGTTGATTAATTACAATACAGTATTTGTTTTTATTGTTTACATAGGATGTCATATTTTAAGCAAATAGCCTATTTCATAAATTAAATATATTTTAAAACAAATCCCAGAAAAACCAGTAAGAATAATTTCTTTTTTAAACCCACTGAAACAAGTCAAAATAAATATTTTAAAATTTGAAATCATTGTAGCTATAATCGGTTCAAAATGAGATCAGTTTACAGGAGAAAGCAACACCCGTGTGCAGTAGGTAGCCACCTCTACTGATCTTATTCTGAACAGATTGTAGACATCAATTTGTATAGCACCATGTTGGTTTAGAAGTTAAGCCGAAAAAAATAAGCTATTGCTTTAGGTTCCAAATTCTGCTTATTGTTTAATAAAAGTGACAGTGTATTTTGTTTTTTAGTTACTCTTCCATATCTTCAAAGCATGATCACTTTTCTTCTCTAGAAAAAGTATCTAAAGCGATTGATCAATTTTATGATGAAACTACTAAAGATGCAATAGTATGTTCTTCTGATCTGGAATTATTAGAAAGTAAAATTTTAAAATCTGAACAAGAATTAAATGATTTAAAAGCACATGGAACGTTTTACGAGTAAGTAAATTAGAATAATATTCATCCAATAAATTGTTTAGATGATCAGTTTTATCTACATGCTTGAACTGTACTACACACAAAATGTTTAAAATTACAACGTGATTATAACATAAACCTTCAAAATGTGTTCATTACCTTTTATTCTAAGAGTTTAGAGGGTAAACGGATTACCCTCCACCCAACATTTTTTAAGTTTAGTAGGACATTTCCCTCGAATTTAAAAAAAAAATGTTACAATATAATATGAAATTATTTTTTTTTTTAAGACAATATGTTGAGAAACTTATCTAACCTTTATTTTATTAATTATATTTTATTTATAGAAATATTAGGAAATGTATTTTGACTTAATACAAAATTAGACATTAAACACTAACAAATTAACCTCATAATAAAATAATACATTTTTAAATACGGATGGAAAATGTCCTACTACACCAAAAATAATCTAGGGGAAATCGTCCAGAATTTTTTTTAAAGAAGACTGCGGTCTGGCAGTTGCCGACCCCTGGTATATGGGCTTAAATTGTATCCTTTCCAGTATGACTGATGTGGCATGTGGGAAATTTCTAAGTTTTCAGATTTCTACGTATTTATGCAATTTATTACTATGTTCATTTCTGTATATTTATTCCCTTATTTAAAGTAAGTTTAATTAATTGTTAAATTAATAAAAGTAAGTCTATTTGAAACAAACAAACAAACAAACAATTGCGTACAAGTATGGAACACCAACATAAACAGAAACAAATTAGCATTTGATTGCATAGCTCTGCAGTTCACAAAACAATTAAAAAAAGAGATCATATTGGTTGAAAATGTGGAGACTAGACAAAACAATTCTTGGAAATATTCTGTTACTCCACAAATTAAAAGAACACAATCATGATCATTTTTGAAATTATCTTAAAAAGGATTCTACAGTAATTGATACTCTATAAAATGTAGTGAATAAAAAAACAGACTTCAAGTATTTAGTTTTTGCCCAAAACATTGCTTTTATTATATAAATAATATATATATATTTAATTATTTTAATATTACCTTCATATTTATATAATTTATTATTGTTATTACTTTTGAGTAGATACCATCTTACCGTAGAACCTTTTCTGTTTGAATAGATAGGGTTTGTGGTATAAATAGGTAACAGCTTAAAATTAATCTAAATGTTTTGAAATTGTAATTTTGTATACAAAGCACAATTTAAAGTACTATCTTTAATCGTGATATTAAGTATGATAATAAACATAAAAGTTTCATGTCGCTGCAAAAAATATTTTTGAATTAATGCAAATTAATTGAAATTGTTATTTTTCATTTAAATAATTAATTTTACAACATTTAAACTGTCAAACCATATTTTAAAAAAATGTGGAATTACCATTTTTTTACTCGTTTTCTTAAAAAAAATTTTCATGTTTTAAATTTTTATTTTTTTTAACCTAGCATAAAACCAAATACAAAATCTAGAATTTCAAACGTTTTTAATTTGCTCAAGAAGTAAAATTATTTTGAAAATTATATCAGCATTTAAAAAAAACTTGTTTAAACATTTTCTTAAAATTTTAAGTACCTACCTATCTAAGGTACTTGTTTTTGTATACAATAACTAAAAAAATTTATTTTGTCAAAAACTGGTTTTAAGCAAATATTCTGTCATTTTTATTTTATGTTTTGTATTTCATTAGCTGGTAAACACCCTCTTCACAAAATTAAGGCTTCTGGTGTTCTTATACATCATGGGTATTGCCCGTACTACTACTATAGTCATATATTATGCATAGGAAACTTGCAATTTAATACTGAAGAATAATATATATTTAAACATACACTATTTTGTGCAAGGTTTGTACGGTGTTCCAAGTATTTAATCAAAACTAATTGTCTAAATGGCTCAATTTTGTATGTCAGTGTATTATAACACTTTATTTTACATTTAATTTGGTTTCAAGAACTTTAATAATACATTTTAATTTACAGAAAAAAGATACAGTTGATGGATGGTGAAATATCTTTACTCAAAGAAAAAGAGAATATTATCAGCTTATCTTGTTTTAAAATTGAAAATGATTTGGATGCAGTTATGAAAAAATTCACAGAAGAAATTGATACACTTGGTACTAATGTTAATAAACTTCATTATCATGTCACCTGCAGTATGACAAATGTAAATGTTCTTTAAAATAATTGTTTATATTATATACTTGTAATGTCTTAGATGAAAAAAATATTGAAGTTTAAATTTAAATGTTTAGGATAACGAATGCTTAACAAAATTGGCATCAAAAACTTTAATTAATATGACTGACTTATGGCGCCAACAGATTTTTAAAATGATAGACGTATGGTTTAAAGAGGTAGAATAAAATTTTTTATATTGATATGACTATTTTCTTTACATGTTATTTCTTATAATCAACTTAATAATTTGCAGGAAAATATTTCATCAGTAATAAATGATACATTTTCCACAAAAATCCATACTTTAAGTCAACTCTCACAAAGGTTAACTTTTATTTATTTAGAAAATATATAGGTTAAATATTTAATCAAAGTTTACATTATGTGTAGTTGTGCAGCTTTACGGATGGCTGGAATGAACGAAAAAAGCGAGATATCAAAATTAAATTTAGCTGTGAATAATTTATTCAATATTAAAAATTATATAAACGAGGATAAAGAGAATCTACATTCAAATAATCAAGATATAATAAAGTAATTATTAATAGTGTAAAAACTGTTGATAGTAAAATAAAATATTATCATTTCATGTTCTAACTAGAGATTGTTACATTCATTTTTTGCGAGGTTATAATTTTAATAGTAAAATGTTGTTTTAGTTACATTGACAAGCACATAAAAGACCGAGAAGTACTCACGGACTTAAATCAACAGCCCCAATCTACTGAATATGACATTATAAAAACTCATATATCGGAAACAGTGATTGCAGATGCAACACAAAAACTTTCAGAATTGGAAACAATTAATGACCGTATAACATTTATTCAAGATTCTATTGAACACTACATCATGATGTGTGATGTGTTGTGGTGCCTGATGAGAACAGGTTGTTCCATGGCAAACTTGAAATGTGAATTAG